TATCTGCATCCCACCAAAGTGCCCTTGGCTCTAGGGCACTGCCTGTTGCTGAAGGATTTTGAGCTGGTGGTGGCCACAGATGCCGGAGGGAAAAGCCCCATCCCAAAATACCCAGCAGAGGAGACATGACACAGGCTGGTAGGACGCACAAAGAGGCTCTGTCTGCCCGCACAGGGCATCCGTAAGCGCCCCAAGTACCAACTCTGGTAGTTGTAGGGAGCGTTTTAGCCCAGGAAGGCAGCTGAAAAAATAGCACTTACAACCGCAGCCTGGGAATTCGTGTTCGCTCTTTAAAAGATGTTTTTAGCGGAGGTTGGGTTGTTTGTTCTTTTTTTTTTTCTCTCTCTCTCTTTCTCTGGTTGAAGAAATTGCACAGCCTGAACTTATTTATTATGGTTCATGCAAAAAGACCTGTTTTTCTGCTGCCTGGGGATGTTTCTTGGCTACTTGCCATGCTGCTGGCGTACCACCTTGCTCCAAGACCATTGCCGAAAGGAGATGTCTGCAGAGGGGGAGGCCACCTGCCTGGGAGGAGGAGGAGGAGGATGGGCCACCACTGACCTCCTCAAACCACTGCCCCAGCCCTTCTGCCCCTGCTTGCTTTGCAGGGCTTCTCCCTCAGGGCTCCTTCCTTGCCCAGCACCAAGGTGAACCCTTCAGATCAAGGTGAACCCTTCAGATCATGTCCCCAAATTCTAAGCTCAGCCGGTACTTGGCATCAAGGGAGAGCAGATGCCTCGAGTAATTAAATGTTGCGATCCTGAGACCACCAACAGCATCTCCAGTGTTGTCTACAGTGCTGGGAAGGCACCACCAGCTCTCACTTTGAAGAGAGTTTCATGATGCATGGAACATATAGGAAAGAAGGAAAGAAGAAAAGACTTAAAGAAGGAAAGGCTGGTGGTGGCCGTGGCTGTTTCTTTGTGTCATGCGAGACTGGTCTTCCTCGTGTTTCAAGCCCTCTAATGTCTGAATTGCCAGGTTAGCTCTGACCAAGGAGAATTTTGAAACCTCTTTTGTCTCCTTTCAATGAAAGTAACTCCCATGTAGTGTTTCCCTCTTTTATTATTGTTATTATTATCCTCATCATTCTCTGTTGCATAATCAGTCTTTAAGAAGAGAAATGAAGGCAAATAGCTCCAGGTCTTGTAATGTACCTTTGCAGCAAAAGGGAGAAAACACCCTTTTTGACAGCTCTCAGCGCTATCTGAGGCCAAGTAGTGAGCTGGAGAGAAATACAAGCTTTTCCTCAAGGAGCAGGCACACATAACACGTCTACTTCCCAGCCAAGACTCAACATGTGTCTTCAAAGAGGTCCCCTCACCTTTTATATCCACATCCTATCTCACTCATTGTCCTACTAATTCAAATGGAAGAGCAGGCCGTGATCATCCAGTAGAACAGCTGGGCTCAATTGAGGCCAAAACCCAGAAATGTCATCTTGAAGCTGTAGCCAGTAACAGACTCTGCGAAGAGCTGGAGACGGCTCTCCTGTGTCCTCCCACCTATCGTTACCTCTATCCAAAATCTGCCAGTCAGTATGGTAGGGCTTTCTAAGCCAGAGATTGTGTCTGAGGTCTCATGTTGAATTGCCACCACCAGGTCTACCCTCCTCCCATTTATGCTTCTGGCTCCTTACTCCTCATCCCAGCGTGTCTCCAAGGGCTGTAGCCATGGAGAGTTCCCCAAGTTGAGCAGGAAAAAGCCCAGAGACCAGCATCCATTGTGGCATTGCAAGAACCCACCAAAGGGCCTCATCATTTTCCTGAAGAGCCTAATAAATAACGCAAGGAACACAAAGGAAGTTAGTCAAGTTGAAAGCTTGAGGCTTTTCCTTCTGAAGCTTGAGAAATAATTTACCATGTGGGTTTAGTTTCCTTAATACTCTTAAAGATGCATGGCACACATTTCTGGTAAGACCTCTTTACTTATGGAGTAACCACTGGCCATTTAATTACATGTAAATTACCATATAGTGATAAGATGATTACATGATCAGCAGTGGGATAAATGAAGCCTGGAAAGTACAATGTAATTGACAACCAAATACAGTGTTATTTTTTATTCCTTAATTCAAAATGCAATTTACTCAGTCATTAATCTTGGATAACTGCATATTCTGGAGGAACAGCATGCGATTACTGAGCAATGCACCATTTGAGTAATTCCCTGGGGGTAGTCCCATGAAAAGGAATGGCCTTGCATATGATTTGAAATCCCAACCATGTCCACAAAAGGGTTACATGATTCCTATACCTCCTGCCTGCTAAGATAGCTGATAAGCAGAAAGAGCTCCCAACAAGGTCACTATAGCGCCACGTCCCAACGGATTGGGCAGGTCCCACCTAGCCCAACACCAGCGATGGTCCTCAGCACTGACAAGCAGGCAGCAGTAAAAGCATGAACGAATTCGACAATGATGCATCTAGGCCTGGATGACCCCAGTAGACACCATGCTTCCAGGTCCTGTCTGCCATAGGGTGCTGGGGTGGGAGCAGCCTTTGCTAAGGGGTCTACTCATCCTACTTGCCATGTGGTCACCTTCAGGTAGCCCTACATCCCAAGAGCACAAGAGGAAATCTGAGCATGCTGATCATACGTTCACAGGGCAGCTCTGCAGCGGGCTGGGTTGCTGTCCATGGGATGGGATGGGATGGATGTTCTTCCTTGGATAGTCCCACTGCTTGCCTCATCTTCTCCTGTAGATAGTCACACAGCCAAGTGGAGGCATCTGCCACCACTGGGCATGCCTCCCTAGTGCAGCCCATTTGCAGTCAATCTATTTAATTTTCTGGCACTGAGTTTCCATCGTTTCAAGTCTGTAGGTGCTCTGCTGAGACTGGGGCATACCCCACACTGTCCACGTGCCAAGAGTGCCTCCACCCAGCATCACCCCAGGACCTCATTTGGGCCAGCTCCTCATGCACGAGGGCTTCCTGCTGTCACCCTAGCACGTATCTGCATACCCAAGGGAGCTCCTAAGCCTTCCTCAATGGGAAAGATGGCAAAATTATACTATCTGGAATGAGCCCAAGAGCAGATCTCCCTCCACATCCTGATTCGGATGGGAAGGACTTGGTGGAACTGGGCTTACAGCATCTCCTCACTACCTGGGACCATGGGCCAGAAGCTTCTTTGAGCAGGGGCAGTTCTGGAGCCCAGAAATAAGCGTCCCAGCAGAGCCAAGCTCAGCCCACTACTTCCAAGCAGCTTTCCCCATTGTCACTGGATGCCGGACATCCAGTGGCAACAAATAAAAACCCAACTTACGAGCACTAAGCAGAAAGAACTACTGAAAAAAAAAAAGAAAGAAACCAAAAAAAAAAAGTGGGCAGGTCCCTTGCACTTCAGAGCATGTGGTATTTATTAGAAATAAATTGGCACACAAGAATAGTAGCTAGGTAGGGATTTTTTTTCTTAGCTACATGGCTTTGGAGCTCTGTCTGTAACCCCTCCTGCACACATAACAGCACCCCCCTCACATTGCACTCATGGTCTCGTTTGCTGACACACAGGTAAACCTTTTTGTTAGTTAGAATTACTTTTAATTAGATATATATGTAAATTATATAGAGAAAGTGTGCACAGTCTAGAGAGGAAGAAAAAAAAAAAGAAGAAAAGAATGCAAAATTCAGTATCGATAAAATTTAAATCCCTCCAAATCAGCTGCTTTGATGGCTTTATAACATGTTATTACTTATTGGACCTCCCATGTATAAATAAATAGTACCAGTAATTTTTACATCTGAAGATTCCTGCAGTAGATATTTTTACTTACTTTACACACTTTTGCTTCTCTTCTTGCTGTCCCCACACCCATTCCCCCATGACAGTTTTCTGCTCCGTTTAAACACCTTTGCTTAGCAGCTCACTACCCATGAGATACCCATGAGAGCATCCCTTTTTCTGAGAGGAGTTTAAAAAATAAAGGCTGATAAAACAAAAGCGGAGGGTCTCAAACAAGCAGCACCGTCATTTTTAAGGTCGTCGCTTTTCCCTTTGCTGCCGGCATCTCCTCTCCCCTCCCTCTCTCCCGCTCCAGAGCTGGCTCGCAGCCCCACTGTCCCCGTGCCGGCACGGAGGCGGCAGGAGATGCACATGGATTCAGCTCTGAATGATCCCCCAAACCCATTCCATAGGCAGCAGATGGAAGAGAGAGACGGACAGACAGGAGGGAAAGATGGACACGAGAAGCACAGCATGAAAATGGGAAAGGAGACGAGTTTATCGGGCTTGTGGCTTCTGAGATGCATTTTGGGGCGCAGGAGACGTAGCGCACTGTGGCAAGTGATTGCACTCGTGGTACAAGGGCTGTTCGAGGTAGGTACCTAAGTTTTCTCATTTGTGGGTTCATAATACCTCCTTCTGTCAAAAAGGAACAACAATAATACTAATAAAAATATATATATAAAAAAAACCACCACTCCAAAATCCACCCTTTCAAGCCTCATTGAAAAGGGCTGGTGTCTTTCTTTTTTTTTTTTTTTGAGAAAATTGAAAGAAAATATATATATATTATTATTTATTATATAACATTGTCAACATCAACACCACAAAAAAAAGTAACATCCTAGCTGTTTTCGTTCAAGCACTCTGACTCTGTTGAGAAAGGCAACAGGAGGTTCGTGTCCCTCTGGAAACGGAAAGAGCGGGAGGGAAACAAGGACCCAGGGGGCTCGTGGCAGCAACACGGATTCTGTGGGGAGCATGTCGGGGGAGAAGTGTGTCCTTCTGCTGATTTTCTTTTGGGACTCAAGAAAAGGAGATAGGGGGACAAGTCCCAGTGAGGCTGATGAGCCTTTTCACCCGCGGTTTCAGACAGCCAACAAGATGTGTCTGTCTTTCTCGAGTGCTACTGGTGAACATTCAGTTAAGGAGTCCTGCAAAACTCTCTATGTTTTTATTAGCAACTGTGTATTTTTTCCTTTTTTTTTTCTTTTCTTTTCTTTTTTTTTTCCTCCTTCTCTGCTTGTCACGGCCGATCCGCTGGCGCTTCCCCGTTAGCTGTTCTCGCTCCACTCTGGCACCATGCCCACGCCGTGCACTGAGTGGTACTGGTGGGGTGAGAGGGTTCGAGGCACTCCGTGCGAATAGAGGAACTCAGCGGGCTGCAAGCTGCTGGCGGGGGACTGGATGCCGCCCTGAGGTCCGCACTGCCGCACAATAGGCTGGTGAGAAACCGAGCTTTGGTGCTGGAACATGCTGTGGGTGTCTCCTATCTGGGGGGACGTGTGGTTGGCCACGCTGCCCAGACGGGGCATCAGCGGCCCGGAGGTGAAGTGGGCAGAGAAATGCTGGTAGGGTAACCTGTCCATGGGTTGCATGGCAGATACTGTGCAACTGCTGTAGGAGGGCACGCTGGGCCACGTGTTACAGCTGATGTCTTCCAGGCTGGGCACGGGGTCCGTGGGGGGCGCCGAGCTGGCGTACATGCACGCTTGCCTCTGGGCCGACTCAGTCCTGTACGACGTGTTCAGTCCCTGCTGCTGGGGGTAGCTGGAGCGGTAGAAAGGATCCTCTTCTGCTGGAGAGGTCTCCATGTAGGGCTTCTTGTAGGGATGCTCAGTGCTTGAACATTCCTCATCTGCCAGAGCGAGAGAGAGAAAGAGAGAGAGAGGGAAAAACCCTGGTAGCAAATCACACCATGGGCTAAATCTCCCGCTCCACCATCTGTCAGTGTCATCCTCCTTTTAGCGCAGCGGAGTCGATGCCAAGACTCCTCTTTCTCCTACCAGCATAAATCCAGAGCCCTTTCTTATCATCGCTCTGGATCGACCGTGCTAAAATAATGAAAGGGGATTTGGGCCCTGTCTGCTGAACTGGAGTAACAGGGAGGGGATTAGCAAGGAACTCAGTGGGGAAGGTGAGGCTAAAAGCTGCTGAAGGGATCCTGAGACTTGGTTCTCTTGGTGAACCCCCAAGCAAGACACCGTGTCCCTCGTCTCCTTTCAGCCACCAGTGCTTCCATCAGAAGAGCATCTCCTGCTGCAGATAGTCTGCGTCTAGCCGAGCTCTCCTCCCATAACTGAGCTAATTAAAGGCCTTTATGATGAGATACTTCCACAATAAATGGCACAAGATGGAGATCGCAATTTAAATCACCCTAGGACAGCATCAGTGATGGCAGAGTTGATATATTCAGATTCAGAGTGGAGATATTCAGATTTCAAGGGGTTTACGGCCCCAATCTTTAGCTGGGCACATTAATTCACTCAAGGCTTTGGGCTGCATGCTGAAGCCAAGAGTAACGAAAAAGAAAAGCGAAGTTCACAGCTAGGAACAGGCAGGCTCAGCCTGAAGAGCTTCGCTCTCCCCAGTATCCCAAGCTGAGGCCAACATGAGGAGGAGATAAACAATTTAGGTGAACTCTCCAGAGTGAAGCAAAATGAATATGCACTTATTTATTCATTCACAGGGTCATCAAATGAAATCCAGCTCTGCTGGAATGGATGGCAGGGTTCCCAGGGACTAGCACTTCACCGAGAGATTTTAAGGACAGTGAGGCAAGGGAAGGGGAACTTGTTCTGGCCCAGATTAGCTTTGCTGCTGCTTCAAGAGCAGAAATTTGGGTTCAGACAGAAAAAGCATCTCACCTAAAGCCCAAGAAAGCTCAACACCCTTTCAACAACAGTAAAATCTGGAAGAACGTTGTAGGGAATATCCCTTTTCGGTTGCTTTAGCTAGTACATTCTGAGTCACAACATTTTTCATCTCCAAAATATAAAGAAAAAGAAACCATTCCACTAACAGACCTAAAACCACCTGCCACATAAGTTTCCAAGAAACACAGGTGTTTTTCCTATGCAGATCCAACTCTGAGTGGCAGCTTTCAGAAGGAGCCAATGGGCACCATGGCCACGTCTCATTGCCTGTAAACACGGGTGCTGCAGAGACTTTCCCCTTGGTGCCCTCTGACTTTATCTGCAATAACAGCGGCCAGTAATTTCAGCTGGAGAAGCGCAGTCCCATTAAACACTTTCTTCCTGACAAACATGAAACCTGGCTCCCCACAATGCAGAACCCTACAGCTAATCAATGGTTATCTTGCACTCTGGCTTTCTTTAGTTTAAAGTGAGTATGACAACTAAGCAATGCAATCACATCTTAAAAATAGCTGAAATGATACATAACTAGACATAAAAATGTATTACACCTCCCAAGCCCAGTGGGGTCCATGTTATATAGGAGCAGTGGAAAGGATGTAGTTTCCTGAAAGGCAGAGAGCTGGAAGCACTGGTTTAAGTTCCTTCCTGAACATGGATCTGTAACATGAGGTACATCTGGAATAAGAACCCAGGCTCTAGCTTTTATAGACAGCTTAAAAGTTTTGGATCCCTCACCCACCACTGAGTTAGAAGAACACTAGGGTGGAAAAACAATGTCTTGTAAAATGAAGCATTGTTCTGCTAATAAAGTTTTCAGCATTAGACCACATTACTCTGCTGGCATTAGAAGTCATTGGCTTGGGGTTTGACTGTTTATTTTATTTTTATTTTTTTAAATATACAAAACAGTCAAACTGGGTTTTTCCATTGTGCAGAAAATGTGCCTGACTTACAACCTGAGGTTGTGGATTTTTCCATTTAGTCCGGACGTTTTGCTCCCTGCGGCAGCCCGGCCAGGCAGAGCTGCAGTGACTTACAGATCCTCTTCCAGAATTCATCACAGGTGAGGAAAGAAAAACAAAAACAACTAGCATTTTGGGGAACCTTAGAGGTGCCTTTTCTTCCGTATACTCCAGTACTTGCTCTACCAGCATCTCTAGGTCCAGGCTCTATCTGGCATTGCTCTACTGAAAAGGAAAAAAAAAAGCCCCTTAAGAACACATTTTCTATTTTGTGTCCAGTTAGGGCCATCTCCACCTGCCCTGAAGCCTGGAAAGTGCATCCCAATGCCTTGATTCTCTTCCTAAAAGTCTTCTCAGCTCCTTAGTATAGCAGAGGATAGACTGCTCTGGGTTTGTTTCTTGACACATGTTCCCTGACAAGCATTTCACTGTCTTTTTTCTTGGCACTTAGCCCTAGGATGCTGGACACCTCCAAGAGATGCTGGCAGCCTGGGGAGATGCTCACCCATTCTCTACTTTTGTTGCTGCTGTTGGAAGCAAAGAGTGGTGATCAGCTCTTGTGACCAGCCACTCGATACTGTGCAAACCTCAGAAAGTAAAAAGTTCTGCCAAGCAGAAGGAAGCAGCCAGCACTTGGGAGAAGCTCCTCCAAAGTATGTCCAAGGAAAACGGAGCCTGCAGAATGGGGTGGAAACTGGCTCCCTCACAAGGAATTTGATGATCTATCTAATGAAGGAGCTTGAGAGAGAACATAAGCTGTTCCAAGATTTCCGGTATTTACTACTTCCAGCTGCGTTGTAAATACCACATAAATGGCTTTTTAAATGGAATTTTCCCAATTCCAAGATCAGGTCCATCCAGAGTGAAATGCAGACATGTAAAACCTCTGGACAGCAAGGTACGCTGAGCCCACTTCTCCCCTAGTATAAATTGGAGGAGCTTTTCCCAGTTTGCAACAACTACCTCCCTGGGACCCAAGACAATGAGGAAGGAGACCCGACTGTTTTGCTTTTTTAAAACTTGCCCACACTTCAAAGGCCTAACAGTGTGTTCATCTTGACACTGGGAAGAAGACACAATGGATCATTATCCACATGGCTGCTTTACCCATATAACAGAATCTCACACGATTCTAGCACGAACCCAAGTAGCCATTCGCCATGTGCAGAGCTGGCAAGGGTTGTCAGAGAGGAAAAGAAAAGGGTCAATCTGATGAAAACACGCTCCCCAAAAGAGTAAACAAGACCTGCTTCCTCAAACAGGAAATCTAAGATGCGCTGGGGCTGTGCCAGCTCGTTAGCAGGCATGAGGTTTGCAATATGTGATGGGCTGCATCACAGGGAAAGGTGACAGAAATGGTTGCGAGGCAGAAACACTCAACACCAAAGGCTGAAGTCTCTTGCCAGTACTGCCTGCAGAGGAGTAGGAGGCACCTCCTGATGGGAGAGTAGGATGCCTGGACTAAGCGGCTGAAACTGCAGCTCCACAAACAGTGGAGCTCTGCAACAGAGCTGGGTGAGCACCAGGTGCCCGGGTATCTCCCCACCTTGCAGGAAGCCTCTGCTTCACCACAGCATCTACCTTGCCCCAGACTCCAACCTTCCTCGGCTGCATCTACCTCCAGCTGCAGCATAGCCCAAGCTTTGGACACCTTGCTGAGTCTCCTAAGGGTGGCAGGTTGAGTAGCATGTCCTCCAAAGAGACCTCATATAGAGGGTATCTGACTTGGCAGCCCTGGTCCTTCAGCTTCTTCAAGTCAAAGAAAAGCTAGGTGGGACAAGGAGAAATCAGCTCAGAAAACACAGAAGTCTGTCCACCCCAGCAGTGCTTGTTCTTGAAGAGCAAGGGGAAAGGCACTGTTTTATCACCGCTAATGTCAGGAAAGCAGGAAAGATATGAAAGATGTATTCATCCCCATGGACAGGGTCATGTGCAAGCTAAGTGGCTCAGGGATACGGTCCTCACTGGTTGGAGCCGGTGGATGCTGCCACATTCCCTGTTCTCCCTCAGAGTGCCAACATGACAACTTTTATAACATCCCGAGGGAGAGGCTGTTCTAGTCGCCTCCTGTTCAGCATTACAAGCATCCCAGAAATCTGCCAAGTGGTTGAGATTGTGTAAGGCTGGGAGGGAGCAGAGGTTTAGAGGGATGACTTTTTACTTCACGGGAAGCCTGAGAGAAAGGATAACATCAGGGAAAACAAGTCCTGTTGCTGTAACTGGAAGTAGGGCTAAAATGAAAGACAAAAAGCAAGATGTCTGCTGGAAGGTCCTTTGGGGCTTCTCAGAGTACAGAGGTGAGAGACAGAGAGGTGGAAAACAAAAAGAATAAAGCAAAACTAAATGCTAAGCTTGAAAATCCGTATCAAGAATGGAGGCCACTAGGTAGGATACGGTTTTGGAGTTAATCCATCCTCTCAAGACCAATCTCTACGAAATGACATAAGCAATCTCTACACGGAGCTCCGATACGGTATTGGACAACTCATACCTTGAAGACCTTCTCCAGCCTTGGGCACATTCAGAGGGTGCCAGGAGCTGCAGTCCCCAGTATACCACACCGTGTTCATTCACAAAGCTGCATCTCCACACTCCTGCCCGGGCACCAGGAATTGCCAGATTTGGGATTCTGGGATACGTCCTTCCTTCTTTACCTAGAAGAGGACCAGCTGCTCGCTCAACCACAGAGGAGCCTTCAAAGATAACACTCCCTCACAGCCCTGCTGCTCACCCATAATGTAATGCCCATATCAGATCTCTAGAGCAAATCCATCTTGCCTTGACAGCTAAGAACAACAGTCACCCACAAAGCTATATCTTTGTCTTGAGACACCAAAAAAATAGAGGAGGTTGAATAAGGTGCCTTTCAGTCGCTAGAATACAGACCTCTCCTTAACCAAGCTTAACCAAGACTTTCCCTCCTGATTAAAAGCAATGGAGGGAAATACTACAAGATGCCACAGCTGGAAGAAACAGTATCCAAGAGTCTATCACAGAAATCAGGAAAGGCATTTGTTACAGCAAGTAAAGACAACAGCTGGTCTGGAACCCAGCTGAATTGCCCTCTGCCCCAGCAAGCACTTGTCCATACCCACAGCCTTGCAGAAAGGAAATAATCCGCTTGAGGCAAATCCTAAACTGGCTGAAGGGGAGTCAATATGTTCAGGAAGCGAGTGATCCAAGGAAATCAATCAAATTTCCAAGCCAGGAAAAAAGTCAGATATGTATCAGGAGTGAACACACTGTTATTTTCTCTTTTTTTTGTTAGATTGTGAGGCTTGTTAGAAATTACACAGAGAAAGGTTAAAGTAGGAAAGTGGGAAATGTGTAAGGAAATCTCAATATTTCATTAAATTAAAAAAAAAAGTCTGGAAAAGAAGAAGAGGAAAAAGAAGAATGTTATGGATAAGATTATTTTCCCTAGTCCAATAAAGATCCTTGTTCGGTGCTAAAAGAAAGTGCCATGCTCAGTCTGAACTTGAGATGAAACCTTGGATTATGTTCCAATTTATCTGAACCGAACTGCTCATCTCTAGTTACTTTTTTTTTTAATTAATTTCACTTTGCAAAGAGCTTCTTGGCAGCTTACGTGGGCTCTCTGTTTTCCATTAACTTTGTGTTTCTTTTCTTTAAGCCCTGGTGGCTGTTTTCGATTTGCTGGATGCACGGGGAGGGGGAGAAGCGCAACACGGAGAGCAGCGACTCGGGCTCCCGAGACGCGCGGCTTCGCGGAAGAAGTCGGCGCTATCGGACAGGACGCTGCTTCTCTTTGATTAAAGCATTTGGCGGCTTTGATAAAAGGCCCTTAACTGCTTGTGCCACTCAAGCCATCGTGGAGATAACACGGGGCCATCGGCAGTGCAGACAAGGGCTCTCCTTGCCCGTCGCCCGCACTTTTGCAAGGGCCAGGCAGGCCAAAAGGGGCTGGGGAGCTTATTCCAGGGCAGATAGTCGTCTCTTCTGTGACAATAAGAGGAAGTGAGATAATTGGGGGATTGAGGGAAACCACCCATGGAGACACCACTTAGCGGGAATCCCAAAACTGGAAGGAAACCTCTGCTGATTCCTTATCGCTTTACAATGTGGAGGCGAATGATGAATTGCCCTGCGGTGCAGGGACATGCAGCAGCCCCACATTGGCCACGGGGTTTATTGCCATTCAGGCTGCCTTGTTTTGTTGAGTTCTTGCAAAGGGGAAGACGAGCGGTGAAAGCTCAGCTGGGACAAAGGAGCGTCGGGGCCAGATCTCGGGCAGAGGGACGCTAAGGGTGACCTGCTGTCCTATCACTAACAGTGAGAATTTGTGGGAGTCCATCTATGTCCTGCAAAGCTCACACCCACATTCACGCTCTGCTGTGGGGATAGGGAGTAGCACAACCCACCTCCAATCTTGCAGGACGCTCTGGGAGGCCACTGCTGCTCCCAGTTCCCAACCTTGGAGCTAACTCAAGTCTACCATCACAGTTTCCAAGCACAGTTTTGGTACACCCTATATGAGTGCAAGGGGTCCAGCCAACTGCAGGGGTTAGAAAATGATGCCTCTGTTTTCCACGGTTTGATTCAGTTTCACATCAGGAAAATATTAAAAATTCTCCGTTTTTTTATGACTCTATATGTATATATACATGCATGCATGCAGGATGAAACCATGTTCAAAGGGTTCACCAAGGATGTGAGAAACCCGTGTTTCCATGAGCCCTCCCTGCCTCATCTGCATGGGGCTGCCAGCGCTCCCCACCATTCACTGCCTTCTATCATGTGCCTGTGCTGCAATTTGCAGCACCCCAGGGTTACATTACTAAAAATAATGCCACTGATAGGGCTAGGTGGGGAAGCAAGAAGGAATGTGCTGTTAGGAGAAATTGCTGAGGCTTTGGCATGTCTTGGTTCATCCCAACGCCATGGTGCAGGCCGATCCTTGTTAATCACTTCCCATGCAAAATATAGTCTAAATCCCAAGAAAAAGGAACAGCAGTGGGCTGTGCAAGCCCTCCTTCTTATCCCATAGGGTTGCACTCTGCCCTGCAAATTCCCTATTTTCTTCTGTGTGTCTGGGATGGGGGTGATCCGAGGCTTTTCCTATTTCAGTCCTATAAATGTCTGTGCATCTGGACATTCCCACTGCTTTGAGAGAAAAAGAGAGCGACTGCAAGCTGTTCCGTCTTTCCTGAGGGCAATTATCCCATCGATACAGTGGGACTTGTCATGCCAGGAGCTACTGGTCAGTTCGAGCAAAGCACTCAGAGTTGGAGCCCTCAAGCTGTGTCAAGGCAGGTTGCTCGCACCAGAGGAGAACGAACACAGCCAGATTTGCAGTCCTGTGCCCCGTTCATTAGACCAAGCCTTTAAACGGAATTGCTTTCTCTATTTGGACAAATACTTCCCATCTGCAAGACTCACAGTCCAAAACCACACAAAATCTAAGCTATCAAGGTATCTATACTTGCAGATTAACCCTGTCTGAGTGACTATGGAGATGGATAAGTCATCTTCATCTCTGGCACCAGTCATCTTCCTGAACGTGGATTCAACTTGGGTAAAAGGCACCGTCACCCCTCCAAGCCCAGGAAATGATAAGCGGTTTCAAGCTAACACCAATGATACAAGTTTTCCACCCAGCTCCTCCTGGGAGAAGCTGCCTCCTCCCAGTGCACAGCCCTCATCTTAAATGGTGCCACCATAAAGAGTGCTGGGACAGTCCAGCCTATGGGCAAGAGGAAACTAGGCACAACCGTGACAACCCTGTTGGGAAGGGGAAAGCCATCAAACGGAGCAGGGATTCGCCAGCCTGACCTTTCCTCTTGGTGCAGTGGTAGATCTGGCTGTGCTCCTGGGAGATGGGGTATGGGTTGGCAGGCGGCAGCAGGTCCTGGGAGGTGCTCGACACCCCGTTCTCGCACTGATACTGGGAGCCCAAGTTGGAGGAGGCGGAGAGGACCCTGGTCTCGCCGCTGAACGGGCTGTGATTCGAGGACACTTTCTGTCTCACTGTGCTCCTGGGAACGACTGGGTACTCTTTACTGAAAGAAAAACAAGGCATAAAAGCAATTAATTAATAAATAGATGGGTGGATTAATAAATGAAAGCAGCACATTAGTGTCATGGTGTTTGTTTAGACTTCCAGGGAAATAGAGCCATGTGCCCAGGAGACTGCAGCCCTGTCACACTCCATCCATACAATGCTCTCTCCTATCCTGCTTTCCTTTAAGTATCTTTCTCTCTACATTTCTCCCTCTTCCACCATGACAGCTATTTTATACACATATATAGACATATATAGTTACGGAGAAGTATGAAACATCTTTTCCTTGCATTTCATGCTAGTTCTCATAAGTTACAGATATAAGGTATATGCTTATGTGTGTAAAAAATAATAAAGACAAATAATTTCAAATTTCTACCAAGTTGCTTAGAGGGAACCAGGTTAACTTGGATATGCATTAAATATTTAGGTTTACTTTTTCCCTTTGCAGGAGTTGTTCCCGTTCCTTTTCCCCAGCCTCTGCCAGTCTGGCTGTTCTTGCATGGGAATCACTGAACTGGAGAACAAGCAATATCCCAGAGTGCCCAGAGAAGAGAAATAAATAAATCGCCAAACCAGATCCATGATCCTGGACCAGATCGCATGACTCAGAGGAGCTGGACCAGAAGGGTGAGCACTGGTGGAAAGTCTAGGTTGCTCCTTTGTCCTGAAATCTGGTTTAAAGCAGTGCTTTGCCAATTTTGGCTAGAGATCTCCTCTCCTACAAGACCTGACGTTCTAAAATGCATTAAGAGTAGGTAGCACCGCAGCATCACAGGGAAATGCCATGGGTACCAGGCTCAGAGCAGCCAAGAACCAGAGTCCAGATTACAGCACGAGCATTCTTCTTTGAGGTTAAAACCATTGGACCAAGCTGCCTTTCAGGTATCTTACTCACCCCGTCAAAGCTTGTGTTCTGGAACAGATCCTTAAATCTACCTTGAGCTGACTTGCCTGGTCCTATACACATGGAGGAGGAATCTCTGAATCCTGTCTGATTAGGCTCCTTAGAGAAGACCTATCGCTGTAGCAACTCAGAAGTTATTTACAAAATGTAACAATACCAATTATAGAAACCTACTCACAGCAAGGAGCTTTCATCCAAACCACCACTGTGATGGCTGCCAGAAACATTAGCAACTGAGTTGTTTTGGAGGGGAAACTCACCCAGGAGCTCAAAACCAAATAAATGTGGCTCTCATTGAGCCACACAAGCTTTCCAAACCCCAGGCATGGGGGTATGGTCAAACGGTCTATTCCAAAGATGGGGCTTCTTGCCCTGTAAGCCCAACTGCTCCTCCTCACAGGGACAGACAGGAGCTCCACCTGCTTGAGACAGTGACCACACAGCTTTTTCTCTAGAACCAAACTCTACATTGTGCATGAACAACAAAAGAACAGATGGGGATGGAAGCAGAGACTTGTCCCTCCCAATACACAATGCACCAACAAATGTCAGAGCATGAGGTGGGCTCCAAAGAGGACCTAACAGTCTGTGGACACCCAAAAAATAGAGTTTGCCCCAGGAATACCTGTTGAATGGCAATTTCTGTGACTTCGAAGATAAAGAGCCACAACCTTCAAACCTCCTTGAAGATCTTCAAGCTTCATAGGTGGTAGGAGATCTCCCAATCCTGCCAGACCATATTTTTGTCCTGCCTTCTCCTCTACTCTACATGGAGCCTCGTGAAAATGGGAAGCCCACCCCCACGTTCCCACCACACTCCCCTTCCAAGGAGATGAGCTGCAGAGAGCTAACAAAGGAACCTTTCCTTCTGTATTTCTACCTTTCTCTTCCTTATGGTTACTGATTCTAGCAAAGATATTTCTTTGTTATTTTCTAAAGCAACACTCATCTTGAAACATTTCTGTGTTTGCCTGAGCGCACATAATATGCAGTATGCACAGCTACCATTTTAGATAGTCCTTTGGTCTTTGGGGAGGGGGGAAAAACATTAAAATCTGACTTACACGGGCAATATAGGCAATTGTCTGCACAGCAAGGAAGAGGCTGTTGTTGATGGACCAGAATGCAAGTTTCAGTTTTAGATGGGGTGTTAATGGACCACATTTTTTGCATTAAAAATCATAAAATTAGAAAAAAAAATAAAAAATAAAAAAGTTGGTTAGAGAAAGAATTTACAAGGCAGGAAGCTGTCACTGGTCTATTTAAAGTCTGCTGGAGGGCTCATGATGAATATTCCATTTCCGTAGTTTGTGTATTACAATAGCAGAAAGGGCTGCCGAGGAAGAAGCTTGTGACAAGCTTGTAAGTGAACAGTAGATCCAGGCAGGCTCTCTCACCATTTGGACAACCTACCTCTGAATTTGACCAGAGGCAATGAGGGAAAGGCTGTAGGGAGGCAGAAACCCTGCAGGACCCTCTCCGTGAGCCACCTGCATGAGAGACACGTGAGAGACCAGCTGGAGGGAAATCACCTGCCACAGCTCCAGGAATGATCCCTTGGAGAGAGGAGCCTGATGCCTCTGTGTCCTCCAGTGCAAAGACCAAACTCTGTCAGCAAGGGACCAGGAATGCAAGGCTGTGCTGCAAGCCACCTTACATTGGAGAGAACCCACGTTCTCACCAAGAATCAAGAGTCCTGGCACCGGAGAAGATCCACAAGTTTTATCTGTCCTGTTTGGGAGCAGGGAAAAAATATTTGGGGAAAGAAATCTGGGATGATCTGGAAGATGATGACACATTCACGACACACTCTCCCTTCCCAGAGAAGTGACGCAGTCACATGACAAACTATGGAGCTTTATACAATCATTTTTCATGGCTCTATAAAGACCATTTATGCCACAAATTCATATCTACCAAGGGATTCAAAGAGAAGAATTCAAGAAGGTTTTGTAATCTCAAAGCTTAAAAGATCATTGGTCTTGCAAAACAATAAGAGTCCATGGAAAATAATAAATCTAGGTCTTCACAGAGTAGCATCTAGTCCACTTTCTTGCTAATCACTACATTATAAGCAGTAATTTTCAGCTTTTTTTTAATACGATAATGCAATAACCTTGTTTAAAATCTCTTCAAAGGTCCATAGATTATAAACAGTCTTTGAGTTGAAATATTCACTCACTACTGGTCCTAGGCAAATGGTTTTAGAAGGTGCTTCTGATACTCTTGCAGCAAAACAGTATACATCAAGGCTCTTCTGAAGTATTTTTGCCATGAGCTATAGTAATTCAGAAGAGCTAATAAATGTCAAACCCCAAGGATCAAATTGGTGTCCTTCTGAGGTCAAGATGAGGCATGATATGGAAGAGGATTTCTCCATCACTAGCTGCTGCCATGATTTCATAGCATCCTTCAAAGCACTTAAGCTGGACATCTAAGTCTTGCTCATGATGGTAATTATTTTAAAATCTGAACTAAGGTATATCAGTCAGGATGGGAAAAGTGGCCAAATACAGCAATTTCCCTATGCTGTCATGAGATTTAAACTGCTCCCTGGTCAGTCACCACATATAAACAGGATATATGCTTGCTATCCTTTCATCCCTGTCCCCTCCATCTGCTCAGCACCCAAGGGTTCTCTGGTGCAGCATCAGACCCTAATTCCAGATGTGCAAACATGGCTCAAAGGCAACTGATTTTATATTTCCCAGGCCACCAATTGTTGTCCTTCCTGCGGAGTGAGAAAGAAATGGAAGTCGGCCACAAAAGATATAGAAAGAGGAAGAGAAAAAAAAAAAAAAAAGTGACTGGAATAAATATACCATCTCCCAGGAAAAAAATAAACCAGAAAACAATTGTCAATTGTCAATGTGCATTCATTTCAGCTTATTTCCAGCAGATTGTAATAAAAAAGAACAACTCTCTAGAGACTGTCTGGAGAGACTGAACTGGATAATCTACAGTGTGAGAGGACTCGCTGGGAGAGAAACTACTGAGTACTTCATTCAGTCTTACCTCAAATCAAATATAAGTTCTCTCTGCATGGGGACTGCAGACCAACCCCACAGAAAATAATACCCTAGACTGAATGTCTAGGAAAAGAAGTCAAAACATCCACTGAGAAATACAGAAGACAGTTCACAGCAGTGCACTGCTCCAGTCTATCAAGTGTCCCAACCTTCTTGCCAGCATGTGAAGGGATCCAAAAATGCTGGGCTCCCATAACTCATTGTAATGCACAGTTCACGGGAATCTAAGAACCAGCGGTGAAAATGCAAAAGAGTCTGTCATTATCAGGCAAGCAAAGCACTAGATCCCAACAGACATGCAGCACTGCCTGTGTTTGGAGAAAGAGAAACATGAGAGGAGACTGAAAATGAATGTGGTCCAACAGAGGCAACATCCATCTGCACTGATGCTGGGCTGAGCTTCTGCGGATCAGTTCCTGCTGGACAGATCCTCCAGCAGGAAGGACAGTGGAGGAAATCGCAGCTGATCTAAGTTCCTTGAGCTGCCTCTCTCTTGTAAAGAGCTGTAGAGACTCTCCAGTGAAATCCAGAGTCTTATTTTGGATTTCATCTGAATCCCATTAAAATCTATAGAGCGCAGTTCAAGACTACAGTTTCCACTGGGACTTTGACCAGGAAACTTTCCTCAGGGATCAGTTTGCTGGAGGAAAGCATCATTACTCCAGCAGATGTTGCAACTCGAAGTTCCACTCTGAAAATGTTTCAGACAGCTTGTAGCTCTTGGGAAATTTTAATGACAGAACATGGGAAATTAAAATGGATAAAAAGATAGAATGAGAAGATGCAATGAGGGCAAGCTCATCTGCGGTGGACTGAAACCTGCTTGAGTTAAGCAAGAATAGGTCTATCTACTCAACAGTAGGTCGGCGTGCCAGAGTAGATGACTTGGGGGAGTCCAATCCATTTTACTGGCACCCAAACAAACACCATCATCCCATTATGCCAGTTCTGAATCATAGTACTAACTTCATATCCTTTGAGTATGGCCCAGATTCTGCTCTTAGTTACATTGGCAAAAATTTGGAATAATTCCATTGGAGCCAGGAAGATTACTGTGGATCAATGCCAAAGACAGCAAATATGGCTCATGATCTTTGACAGAGAAAGCATATACATAATGTCAAACCTACACAGCTGCTCTTTTTCTGTTGAGTGCATCATTCTGCATCTCCATGACACTTTGAAAAGGCCCAAAATATCCATTAAAGGAGCTAAGAGCCACCCTTTCTTGTAATTGTCTTCCCACTCAAGAGCTTTCCCAATATGGAGCTTCAAGGACTAATTGCATTAGTCTGGGTGAACAGTAACTAGGGCCTGGCCTTTCAGAAGCTCTTCAGCACCCATAATAAGAGCTGAAGACAATGGGACTTACAGATGATCAGCAAAAAATTAGTAAAAGCGTTAACAGAATTTCTCTTTCATAGCTCTCTAGACCCAGACCCACAAACACTTCTCCCCTGCTGTCTTTTGGCAGTTGCAATTAAAAAAAAAAAAAAAAGTGACTTGCACGCAACTCCCCCAAATCACTCAGTAGCTATGGTTTATTAATACAACTCCATTGACTGTCGTGCATGGGGAATTCTAAGGGCAAAGTCGACACTGGCATCTGCAATGCAGACCTCATCGCCTCTCCCCATAAACTTCACCCTCTGGATTTCTCCTGAGTATTCTGCTCTTGCTCTCCACACCAAATCCCCCTTGGCACAGACCAAAGTCCTAAGCAGAGACAAAAGGAATTCTTACAAGACAGTAGGGCAAGAGATCTGAGATTTGCCTAAAATTTCCATCATCGCAGCTACATAATTTTTACCTGATTTATGTTTTTCAATTTCAGCTAGACCACAGGATACAGATGCAGTATAGCTCACATCCCTATGCACATTTTCCTCTAAAATGATTTCCCCCTTTCCCCAACCCAACCCCCCGTCTTTTTTTTAGATCAGGGAAATAACAAACTTGATCTCATACTTGGAAACCTGAAAACTTAAGAAAGTGTGTTGTCCACGAGCACACATTCTGTCAAAAAAAAAAAAAAAAAAAAAAAAAAAACTTAAGGGGTACCAGGTACCTTGGGAAGAAATGGAGATCAAACATGTATCAGAAATTTGTGTTCACTGACATTTGAATCTTTCTGGACTTTGTGTCTCTTCTTTTTGAATGAAATCATCTATTGCTGAAAGGCTTAATAACACTCCTGCATGAAAATTTCTACCTGGATGGATCAATTAGCCTTTCTTCCAAGAAACCGAAGAAAAAAAAAAAAAAAAGAAAAAAGCCAAATCAACTTATGGAGTTATGGAGACATGCAAAGGAGCAAAGGACATGCTTGCAAACACATCCATCCTGCAGAGCTCGTGCCTGCAGAGGACATTTGGGTAATGTGTTGCTCTTGCTTGGCTGCAGTGCACCAAGTCATGCAAAGGCAGAGGGAAACGTTCTCAACAAGGCCCTCGAGACCTAGCTCTTAGCTCACCACTGGCTCAGAAAGTTGTCTTTCCCTCTGTCCCCACCATTTGCCAAAGGGTAGGTGTTCAACAAATGAGTCATCAAGCCAAGACTCCACCTAAGTCACCTAAGCCCACTTCTGCTGCACCTCACTGCAGGACCTGGCCTGAGTCAAGGGAAATCATTTTGGACCCAGCAGACCGGTTTCCCTCCTGTGTGGGAATTCTCTGGCAGACTAAAGGTCCAAAGAGACCATCAGAGCAAGCCAAGTGAGAATCATTTTGCCTTGCATGGGATTTAGCTAATTTTAGGTGTTTAAAAGCCAGTCATCTGTTTAAGCAAATCATTTAGACATCTTCTGTGGGTGAGACAGACACATAAGGGATTACTCTCCTCTCCTGAATACAGGTGTGATGAACTGCTTTCCCAAAAAAGAGCTCAGTTTGCAGGCATTACTTCTAGATGGCATCTTCAGCTACTGCATCCGCTCCCAGGCTCTGGTGAACACAGGAACCTGTGCAGGATTAGTGCTGTGAATGTGTCTTCACCTACGGACACCTCTGCAGCTGCTCCAAGGTCCAGGTGTTGGGGCTGGTTTACATTTTGACCATGCGTGGAGGCAGCTTTCATGAAAACAAGGAAACCACCAAGCAGCTCTTGCACCCACCAGAGTCAGTCCCACCTCCCAGCTGGGGTTGGCGTCTCCCAGGTTTGCTGTCAAGTCTGAAATATGCCTCTCCAATAATCCTACACAGGGAATTAGGAAACATTCCAGCTCCGAATAAAGAAAGGTGCTTAGGCTTTCCTTTTTTTTTCTACGGCTGCATTCCCTAATGAGATGATCAGTGACCTGATGAATGTTAGGTCACCAGTTTCCGGTACAAAATGCTGTGCACTGTTTTTTTAGAAGCGTATTTTTTCCAGCTACCTTTTTTTTTCTACAGAGAAGCAAGCGCACTAAAAATATATCCAGTCAGGTTCTCTGAGGGCATAAATAGATATCATTCCACTGAAATCAGGCTAGAAATACCAATATATGTCAGCTAGGGAATGAGTCCATCGTTAGGAGAACAACTTCACTATATAGGCACACATACACACATTTATACAGAGAAATTATATAAATATGTACTAAAATATAATTATATGAAACATATATAAAACCACAAAGGTAGGTCATAATTCCCTGATATATATATAAAATAAAGAACCATTCAGGATTGAGTATATATAAATTATTTTATATGTTTTTATATTTTTAATATATAGTATATATTCATATATATCTACATAAAACCCACAAAGGTGGGAACATATCTTGCTAATATTTCCAGCCTTGAATGGGTCTTTATTTTAATATAACAACTGTATCCTACTCTCCTTTAAAAATGGCATCTTTGTAAAAGTACAGAGTTATTTCTATACTATCTGTACAGAGGATAAGTTATTTGGGACGTGAGCATCAGAAACTATCCTCCAAAGTCCCTCTGTGTCTTTTAACCCTTTCAACCACTTCAATCCCCAGCACGCACGTATTTTTATATTCCAAGTGTTTCTGCTCTCTGTATCATCAACTATGACCGCAGGCTTGCATAAAAATGCCAAGCAATTTTTAGCACAAGTTCAGCATGGCTAGGTGCCATGCTCTTCATATGGCATGAAACGCTTCTAATAGTCTTCACTGTTTTACCTCTTCCCTCCCCCTCCAAAACCCCTGTGATGAATGTAAGCCTTCACATCTCTCCATTGACCATGATGAAAGGGTAGTTTAACAGCAAAAATGTGTGGGGACATCATTACGCAAGTGCCAGTAGAGGCTGAGGGGCTGGCATAGAGGGGAGAGAAAAAAAGGAAAAAAAAAAAAAAAAGAAGTTATTTCAAGTGGTAGCACACCCAATAAATAAATAAATAAATAAATATTGGCTTGTTATGCCAAGATCTGTGCAGTCACTGGAAACTGCAGGCAGGCAGGGAACACAGGGCACATTCAGAAGACCACAGAGATGATTTAGAATGAGAAGAGTAAGTGTTATATATATCTCTATTTATTGGCTTTTCTGGGCATGAGCCTGAACACTTTTGTACATAGGGGAACGTTTGCCCATCTGAGTAAGCTTATGGATATAAGCATTTGCAGGATTACAGGCATTATTTGTTGCCTGCCAGTGCAATTTGCCTGGCTATGGAAAGCCATATTCAGGTCACCAAATAAGGCAACTAGAAGAGACTTTCTGTACTGACATCTGAATTCAAGCCTGCAATGACCACCTACAGCGTGGAGCTGTGAGATGCTGGCTCCTCGGTCAGAGAGGAGCTTTAAAACACAAGGTCAAAATACAGATCCCTACAGTTCTCCATCGAGAGCAAGCTCCCCTGGTCTCGGAGAATACGGGATCTGAGGGACACCTGCCTTACTGTATAGGAAATGCTATATTGAGCACCTACATCTCTCTTAGCTATAATCATTGGTATGGCATTTTTCCTGAAAAAAATCTGCACTGGGAAATAACCTGATGCATGGATGTAGTTCCAAGTCAAATAAAAGGCATGAAGTTAATTACTGGCAAGACCCGATATTTATAAAAGGACTTTAAACAGGATTTAGGCTGAAGTTGCAGCTTAAATGCTTAAATCTGAGAAGTCCTATTCAGCCACCTGGCCCTGAAGATCCCAACATATTCTAATAGCTTCCTTCGTTGACCTGAAACCACTCTGTGCACATCCAGAAATGACCAGGTAGGCACCCCACTTCTGTCAAAGACCCTCCAAGAGCCACAAACAACATAACACAGCGCTATGGTCTCCAGAGGGATTGGAGCATCCTTAGCAAGCCTCCTCTCAAGAACAAGGCAATATGAGCTTAACCGCTTTGTCTTTAGAGCACTGCCACATGAGGAACTTATAAAGTTCCTGAGGCCAAAAGGACAACCCACAAGTAAGATCCTGCCTCTGTATCCCATCACCTAAGGCAGTCACCTTGAAGTAGAAAGCCCTGGATTTTGACCCCTCAATCCTGATGATATTTCAACAGTTTAACTTAAAACGCACAAACAGATGCCAGAGGTGGGACCCCTGCTAGGTTCTTGCTTAGCTCAAGCCTCAAGTGGCATACAAAGCAAAACAAGACTGGTTCTGATGGTCTGGAATGGGTTCCCACAACAGGGGCACGTGTTACCTCTGCATCCTGGACATCCTGTGGAGCTCCATGTCGTCACTGCCACGGAAACCTTTCGCAAAGGGGTTGTTCTCAATCTTTAACTGGGTGATCTGAAAGAGAGGAAATGGAATGGATTCGTCAAAAGTCCATGGCAAGGCCTGGGAGAGTAAGGATACTGTTTATTAAACCCAAGACAACAGTTGTGGACTCTGGGGAAGAGCCTTCAGAAACACAAGTCACCCTTTAGCTCAGCCATATACTATCCCAGCTGAGCTTTCCTCTAGCTCTTTCCACTGGGAAGAAATAAATCTCTTATTAAACACGTTTCACTTCTCTCAGATTTGTTCCATTACTAACAGGGGTGACAGTACAAAAATAAATAAATAATCAAATAACAAAAGCCACCACCAACAGGCATTTCTCCTCAGTGCACAACTGTAACCAAAACCTTGTAGCTCAGGCTCTGGATCCTTTCACTCGGAGTGGTAAAGCCCTTTCTGTATTTCAGGACATCTGTGTTTACTCCAGGTGCCTTGCATGCCACACACTTCCCCAGTGAACTCCATACCTGCAAGCACTGCATCTCTATTAACTACACATAGCGAATTTCCAGGGAAATTCCAGGTCTAATCATCATGTCCCGGAGGAATTTTTCTCTCACCGTTAACTCCAGAAGGAACTAAGGAGTACTAGCTTTCTTACTTTTCTTACCTTAGTATCTGAAGCTTGTTGGGAGGAACATTCCCCCAGACACCCAACTTTGGTGCTCTTAAAACATTTTTAAGTAAACAGCTAAAGCAGCTAGTGTTAAGAAACCACCTAAAGAAATACTCAAAGATGTGCAGTCTTTTCCTCCATCCATCTCTCCTTAAAGACTCAGGTGAGAAGGCTTTTTCAAGCCAGGGTTTGATGTTTAAGCAAATGTCATATGGGGGCTCCTGCCTATGGACAAAGACGATCACTAAGTACACCACTCCAGATATCAACATTGTAAAAACTCACTCTGCTGTTTCCAAATTTGCTGCTAATTCTTTGATGGCTTTATATGGCAGGACTTAGATCAGGTGTGATCTATCTACATTGCCGTGAGTGCCAGTCTCAAACCAGTTGCTCCTCCAAGCAAAGACAACACAAGCTCTCTGTTGGCTCATTCAACAGAAACACAGCTCTGAATCCACTCTGATATGAAACAAATCTGTCTGTGTGTGCAGATCTGGAGTTAACAAACAGGGAACCACAACCTTGGTGCAAGAGAAGAGAACAGGTCTTTGTAGAAGGTCGCTTACCACCCTTCAGCTTCCTTTGAAAACTCAGTAAGACGAAGGAAGCTGTTCCCTTTTATCCTGTTCTCTATAACTGCCTATTGGTCAGAGTACTCAGCCAGGAGAGCCACTTCCACTCCACTTGTGCCCTCAGAGCACTTCACACTCTCATTGCATTTTACGGGCAATCACTGTCCTTCTTTCCCACTGAATTTGGGCCAATGGGAAGGAAAGAGCTCAAGACTAATGGCAGGAGAGCAGTGCGAGGCTCATGTGCGTTAAGCTAAGCACACACAACTGAACCCACCTCTTTGCCAAAAGTCAAAGGGAAAATTCTGGCTCTGTTAGTGTCAACAACAAAACGCTCCAGGTTATCTATTTCGCTATTTCTTGTCTTATGACTTTATAATTATTTTCTCTACAAAGGCCACTGGTTTATTTGCTATTTGGCCTAATTTAGTCCCAAATCTCACACAGAGACCCAATCACCCAGACCCTTGCCCCTACAGGCATTCCCATTAAACCATAGCCAATTTAGTAAACACAGCACTGTTTTGTTTTTTGTGGGTTTTTTGGCTTTGTTTTTGTTTTTTTTTTTTTTTGGTCACACATTTCAGATTTCAAAGAGAAGCATGAACAATCAATCTATTTGGTCCTATTTGCCATTTGAGCTGCTCTCTTGCAGTAAAACAGGGGTACGTTTTATAATTAAAAACCCCAAATAATTAGACAACCAGCTGTGTATTTTGCAAACCTGCCTATCGGTTTCCACCAGAGAGGCTGTGGCACCTATACAATGAATAATGGGCATTATTCAGTGCTTTGAATGTTTGTGCTATTTAACTTGCATTTGAAACTAACTTGAAACACTAAATGTATGAGCTGTCCTCCTTTGCCTAACCCAATGGCAATATTTGCTTGCATAAGCGAAGTCCTTCACTGAGTGAGTATTGGCACCAAACTACAACCGTACAAGGCCTGGATTCATCCCAGCCTAACCGTAGACATGTTAATCAAGGCGCCTGCGTTAGGAACTTTGTCTCCCAGCGTTCCCGTTAGAAGCAAGGTGGGGAGATGGGAAGTGCCAGAGGGCACCGGGGCTCTGAGCTGGTAAAATCGTCTTCAGAGGTCCCCACCACCCTTGGTTCACCAAAGAGGGAGCCACCAACAACTAGTTCCCTCATTTAAGAACCCCTGCTAAATGGCTTATTTGAGGCAGGATGAATCAAGCCTTTAATCACCTACAAAGAACCAGACAAAATATCATTTGGGACCTTCAGCTTGCAAACACTTGGCTTTACGAGCAGAGAAATCTCTTAACTTTCACTGGGAACACTCTCATAGACAGCATTATGAACTTACTTTTTGGTAGCAGAAAGCCCTAAGTGAAGTGCAACCAACTCCAACGGCCTTAAAATTAGGGATATGCTAGATTGAAGGTGTCTGGAAACCAATGACTACACTAGGTCTTAAAGTAGGTCTTTGGCGTATTTTACATGGATTGCACCAGAAGCTTTTGGATCAAAGTTTCCCTAAATGAGTCTCTTGTGCCACTTATGGTATCAGCCCTAGTACAGAGCCCAGAGAGTCCAAACTCAGTTTAACAGAAGTACACAGCACAAAAAAAGGAGTAAGGAGAGAAAACTGGTGAATCTCTGATTTAAAAAACAGCCAAGGGAAAATATTTTGTTTGGGTTTTAATTTGTTTGTTTGTTTTTGTTTTTTGTCTGACTTGTAAACTATTTCAGAGGTGGAAAAGCACACAAATGGGTGGAAATTACCTTCTTCTGAATCAGCTTTGCCATAGTGAAACTCAGTTTAATTGACTTTAACTCATTTGGGGAGAGTGGGGAGAGAAAGGGGGCAGAAAAATCTATCAGAAAGTCAAATGACAATTACATCATTAAAAATAAAAAATAATAATAAAAAAGAGAAAAAAAAAGTCCTGTGAAGTCATTAAGATGGAGTGCCTAGGGCTATATTATATAGCAAAGCTTCAATAAAACTGTAGGAATTTGTGTATTTCTTTGTAACTAAAAGAAAGTGATGGCAAAGTTAGCTTCTGCGCACTGATTTTTAAGACCAATGCAGGCCCTTCTAAGATGGGAGTTTTCTGGAATGAAGCCTTACAGACTTACACTTTTCACTTCTTGTTTGACCTATGGGTTCCTCTTCACTTTAATGGGAAGCGACAGTTCCCAACGAGAACTCAGCGCAGCTCCTCAGCACTCCTTTCTCTGGGCTAACTGACCACAAAGCAGCTCAGCTGAGACATTTCCAAAGGCATCTTTAAATCCAGCATGATAAAATGTAGTTTTTCATCTAGTTTATTCAAGGAAATATAACTTCTTTACTCTCCTTACACAGCCATATAGTTTTATACGTGTGTAAGTGTGTCTCTAAGCTATGTATATCATTATGCCCAGAGTCAAAATTACTGCTTAGTATTGTATTTATCAAACACTTGCTATAATAAGATTTCTTAAAAATTGTTTATAACTTTGCTAAACTTTGTTAGGGATGAAATGTTCCATGCCAGATGTCTGTCCTAGGCTCACTTATTATTTATTTATTTTACTATCAGTCAAGCTGGTCCCACGTTTTTAAAGCACTACAGCTAAGGGAAAATACACTGCTCTGACCCTCTCCAAAACTCTTAAGAGACCTTTTGTACAACTGCTCCAAAGGCCAGGCATTTTGGAAACAGATCTTCATTTTTCACAAGGAGGGGACCTTTGCTTCTGGGATCTTGCCTGGTGACAATCTGGCCCATCCTGAAAAATTAACAGTCTGAAGAAGGAAAAGCAGAAAAAAAAAAGAAAAATAAAAATAAATGTGATTAAGGCCACCCTATTTAGCAACGTAGAGGTGATTCCCATCTGGGTGACTCCATCTGGGACTCAGCTGAAACTAGTTGAAAATACAGAGCCTTTTTCTTCTAGCACTCACACACCCCAGGTGGAAACTGAGGAAGCCAAACCAGAGCAGTGGGAAGCTGAGCACTAGAGGAGGACAAGGTGCCCACTAAGGCCATGCCAAACAGAACAGCCGAATGAGGAGCCGGGATTCCGAGCTGGAGGGAAAGGCCAGGGAAGGGGGGCAGCTGGCAGGATGGGAGAAGACACTGAACCTGGAAGCCAGTGGAGGAAATGGGAGGGACTGGAAGCCAGTGGCTGCACATAGTTACTGGTGTGAGACAGAGGGGCTCATTGAGGAGGCTGTTGGCTCAACTGGGAGACCAGGACGCAGGGCAAGAAGAAACAGACCTTACACAGAGTTGAGGGCAGGGGCCAGGTGGAGAAGGTGGATCAGGAAATGGAAGGAACAAGGCTAGAGAAAGGCATTGAGGAGATGTGGAATGCAGAGCCCGAGGAGGTGCTGAGGTCTAGAGAGAGCATGGGCATTCCACAGATGGGCTGAGCAGCCCATCCCGGGGCTCCCAGGGGGGACAGGGACAAGGCTGAGGAGAAGAGGGGAGAGGGGACTGACCCAGAGATGACACTCGGCCTCTTGAAGGAAGACCTTTCCCACCAAAATCTGGACAGGGGCTTTGACAGCAAAGATCTATGGAGCCCCTGGCAGCAGCTAAGACTCAACAACTCTGAGCAACGCCTCTAGCAGACTATATATATATGTATACTCAGAAAGTCCACCAAGCATGTCTATGTACACTGCTACCTGTCTGTGTCTGTCTATGTACACTGCCATAGGTCAGCCAGGCCCTTCTCTCATTGCTACTGTGCACATAACACTTCTGGGTGCATATAGCATTCTGGTTAGGACTAATGTTTCCATCAAAAGAATTTAGGTTACCAAGAATGTTAAATAACTTAGAAAAAAAAATCAGCATAAAACCGTATATCCTGAGGGGGGAAAACCAATATAAAGCCCAAGTCCAGCTAACGGGGAAAGTAGGTTGTAAAAATTAATGAGAATAATTGTTGTGAATTCTTGCTTTTGAAAAAACCCTCATGAGGGCAGAACCTTAATTATTTCTGTCTATTAGGGTTCATTTCCTGGTCCTAAGTGGAGAGCTAGGACCTAATAAATATGAGCAAGTAACACAATAATTTAAGCTATAGCAAAATGGTACTTAACTGCAGGGGAAGTAATATTTGGGAATCAACCTGATTGCAAGCACCCATTGTGTAAATGGCAAGGAAATGAAATGTGCATGTGACCTATTTTAACACCTCAATATTTCTGGGGTGTTTTTTCAGGGGGGGTAGGTGGTCAACCGAGCTGCTGACAGCCACACTGAAAACTCCACAAAAACTTGCCTCGTGGCTTAGCCCTCCTTTAGGGGAGCAGTGCTGGGAAGGGGAAGATCCCAGAGTGCTTAAATATCTTTTCAGGCTGCCTAAAATACCTGGGGAAATAAGCATAAACCCTATATTGGGATTGCAGCTGTGCTATTGAAATAAAGTGACTGATCTGAATTCAGGCAGGTCTTTCTATAAGCTGCACAAGCATAGACTCAGATGCAGTTATAGCAAGTCATACAATTAATACCTGAACTTAATTCACTTGCAGCATAGTTCTTGAGACCTGAAGCACACGCACATAGGTAGTCATTTGTGCGTGTATAAAATATGTAGGTGTATAAAAACTGTGTGTGGCGGTGTGGATAGGAAGGCTGTGCTATAGGTGATAGGAAGTGAGAGAGGTAAAAGAAATAGGCAGTAAATGGGAATATATAGGTAGCGCATGGGCACAGAGATATAGGGTGGACGAACAGACGAACCTCGGGGAGCTCAATACAGACAGATTTATGGCAACTGGAAACATATTCCGCGTCGCGCCATGAAAATATGATTTGCACAAACAACCTCTCAGCTGTGCAAGCTGCACGGGGTGTCTGCCCGTGGAAAGGACCACACTGGTGGCTTCACTCAGCAGAGCGATGCTGCCCCTGCTCCCCGCACAGCGCCTGGACCGGCATCAGCTGCGCGAGCCTCAGCCCCACTGGTTATTCCTCAACTGCACTGGGGCAAGCTGCAAATTTTATTTCCTTCCCTGGAGGGAGATGCCATTGAGAGTAGCTCATTCCCTGGCTTATTTTTACAGCTCTATCTGTCTCAATCGGGTCTTTATCTTGGGGCTACAGCCACTCGTTATTTGTTCCCCAAATGAGCCAGTGCAGCAAAAGAAAAAGCAGTGCGCACCGGGGGGGAGGGATGCGAGTGCATGTACAGCGTGTAAGGGTGTGTGTGAAATATGTGGTGGTGTCCGCGTGCATGTGTCTGTCGGGATACAAGCCCCGCGCGGCTGTAGGGATCTGCGCGTTTGTCAGTGCGGGCGCCTTGACAGAGACGGATACGCAGATGTCAGGCCTTATCAACCAGATGTTGTTGATTTACAATCAAATATTCCTGCTCCTCCTAATATGGCAGTTTTCCCAAACTACTGTGCTAACATGGCTTTGCTTTCCTTTGTTTTATTTGTGGGGTTTCTTTTCTTTGCAAAATAGCCCGATTTTCTCTTCAAAGGAAAGCAGTTAAACTCAGGTCTGTTTTCTCCTAGGGAAATACGTTTAAAGCAAGCACCGTGTCCTGTTTTATTAGCTCTCAGTTCTATTAATATTATATTCTTTCTCCGAATCCATCAAGCAGAAGTTAAACTTGATTTTATAGCATCCACAGTGGAGTTATAATTTAAGGCATAATTTGGCGTGGGCTCAATTTGGATTCAGTTTGCTTGTCCTGGTCGTGCCAACAGCTCCTATTTTACAGGGCAGGGAAGTATTTTCTTTTCTCCTTAGTTACAGCGAAACACTCCTTCTTCCCCAGCCTACCTCTGCTGCTGGGGTCTCTCCTGCCAACTGATGGACGAGGGAAACGGAATCATTTCATGAAGTTTTAGGAGCTTCCCAGTTTCCCAGTCATTATATCTCCAAGAAAGCATCCAGGACCCAGTCGGAGCGCTAAATGACATTTCTGCATTTGAAACCAAGCACCTGATTTTGCTCTTTGAAGCCCAAAGCAGCCATCCTACCTACTCGTGTGTACAAGCAGAAGCCCTGATTTCTAAAGGAATAGGGAAGGGATTTATCTCCTTGCCAAGGTCTGGAAATTCATGTTAGGGAGAGGGGTGGGTGATAAATGCCAATGCTAAGGGCAGTGGCGTGGGGACCATCAGGACGGGCAGCCAAAGCAGAGCCAGGGATGGGGACACAGTGCAAGAGGGGACAGGAGTCCCACACCACTGATTTCCCCACATGGACAGCCCACCCTTGCCCGCATGCCCTGTGGCACAGTTGGGGGCACTGCAAAAAAAAAAAAAAAAAAAGAGGAAAAATGTGCTTTTCGGGGTGTTTTCTTTTGTTTTGCGCTGTTTTGCTTGGGCAGGCTGTGATATGATTTCAGCGGCAGAGCCCTCCCTTCCTTCCAGCCTCTCACTGCCAACCCTGCAGCTCCCAGCCACTTTCCACGCACATTCCCTGCACGACTAGTCAGAAAGGAGCCATTCCCCAAACAAAAGGACTCTGCGAAGCCAGACTGGGTTATCAGGGACTCGACGGCCGAGGGGAGCGCTGGGGCTCCCTTCTCCAAGGGCAGATTAGGAGCCTTTGACCGATGGGGGGAAGGAAGATAAAGGCAACTTCCTTGGTTGGTCGTCTCATCTCTGAGCAAACCATCCTGTTGAACTCGCTCCCCCTTGGCTCACACAGAGTCTTTAGCCGCCTTGTCGGAGTCACCAGGAATAACAGAGGGGATAGGATGAAACCCCAGAGATGGAAAGGCCGTGGGACATGAAAAGAGGAGAAAGGTGGGGGAAAAGGGAGGGGGGAAAGGAGGGGGGAAAAACGGAGGGGAAAAGGGGGAGAAAAGGGGAAGAAAAGGGAAGCCAACACCTGAAAAGAAGTTGTGCAAGGAGATGGGGAGAAGAAACATGACTTATCCGTGCAAAAGGTGGCCCAGCCCCTTACCTTGTGGTTTTGGTAGGAGGTGACGGCAATGAAGGCGGTCTCTGGGAAAACGTGGGTGCAAAAGGCTGTGTTCTTGGACCCAAAGCCATTGTTCTCATCCGCCTTGACGATGTGGAGCCGGGGCTGGTATTTGTGCATGGAGTTCAGGATGATCTGGGGTTGGGAAGAAGGAAAGGACACGCCGTGGGGTTGGAGGGATCACAGCGCGATGCCCCCTGCCTCTCCACCCCAGCCCCACATCCCATCCAAGCTAAGAGGTGCTGGGAGGAAGAGGAAGAGCCCAGTGGTTCTGCCACAGAAAACACTATCTCCTCTTCAGGGCTCGCCCAGCAGGGTGGTTTTGGATGGGGGGGCATGTCCCAAGAGAAGCAGACTGCCCTGCCAAGGAGACCCTCGGTCCTAGGTCCGAGCAGAGCTTGGGGACCTGCTAGCAGCTCTCCCAGCTTTGCCACTGCCAGGCCAAGGTGGCAACTTATTTGGCCTTGAGGACACCTTGGGGCTGCCCCCTCTGTATCAGCAACCCATGGAGGGAACCTACCGCCTCCCCAGACCCCAAGGCCTCCCAGCTCCCCGAGAATCTTTCTCAGACCCCCGAAATATTTTTTTTTCCCCAGAGAGGGTGGCTGGCAGGGAAGGGAGGAAACATAGCCGGCCATCCTCACAAGGGACAGCTGGAGAAGCGCTCCTTTTCGAGATAAATCGCCCTCCTCCTCTGTCCCCAAGTCGGGTTAATCTGCGGGGAAGGTTGTGGTGATGGTGGCCGGAGCTGGGGGTGGGTCGCTGCGCGCTGATAATGACTGCGAGACCTTGGCGACAGCGAGACGCAGCCTGTCCCGCCAGCCCTGCGCCATCCCGGGCCCGGGAAGCCGGCGGGGCTCGCAGGGCTCGGCCATCCCGGGGGTTTAGGCAAATTGCTTTGACAAGCCCGTAAGTCGTAGACATCAACGGTGAACGATCTAATGGGTTTTAATTTCATTACGGCGACTCTAATTGAGAGACTGCTGGGGCAGTTCCTCCTCTGAAGTCCCTCCTTGTCTCCCAGCGCCTTAGGTTTGTTTAAAGAGCCTTTTCCCGAGAGCCGCCTGCTCCCAGCGGGGGCCCGGCTGGCCCCTTCCCCCAGGCCGGCTCCTCGCAGGCTCCCAGCTCTGCCCCTTCACCCCCCCCAAAAAAGAAAGAAAAAAAAAGAGTGCGTATGTGCTGGGGGGCAGGGGAATAGGGATGTTTGCACATAACCATGATAGAGTAATACAGTTTATACATCTCAATATCCTAAACTTAATATTTGAAATCTTCTCCTTGGTGGGATTTTATTTAAAATAATTTTTTTTGAAAGAGAGAATTAACTACAAGGTCCCCAGCGCCCCACCCGAGCCCCCAGAGCTTGGGAGCGACCGCAGGGGCAGGGAGTGAATATTGCGAGATATATCATTAAAAAAAAAGGGGGGGGGGACTTGGAAAAATATATATATACTGAAGTGTTGAAATGAAACTGGAGGAAAACATGCTCTTGGAAAGGGGAGGGTCTGGATCCGCATAGCTGCTTAAGTAATTATATATATTTTATAGATTATATTATACATACACGCACGTATATATTTGCTCAGAGAAATACGTATCTTTGGAGCCCTTCGAAGGAGGGCTGTTTCTGGCTGCAGATTTCACACAAGCTTTCGCGGCCCCATGGGTCTTGCAAAGGTCTTTTATGTCCAAGAAGCTCTAGCGGGATTTCACTATTTTATTGTCTTTTAATTATTGGTGCATTTCTTTTGGAGCAAGGCATCCACGTGGGCTTTAGGTCCCATTTCCTCGAATAATTATGCCTGATTGTTTTTACCTGTTAGTCAAATTCACTGAGGCGGCGAGCAGGTTTTAAAGCGGCAAAACTCCCCAGGAGGTTTAAACCAGGTAGCTAAAGAGTCAGTTAAGCCTGGTAGGTTCCGGGCGCTTCCAGACTCCGAGCTTTGCGTTCTCTAATCAATTCCCAGGCATTGCTCTGAAATAGCCCATTTTAAAGGTTTGTTCTTCCTTTTTTGAGGGGAGGAAGAAGGGTGTTCACTGAGGTTCACCCCACCCTCGAAAGGTGGGAATTAGCGGCCCGTCGCCGCAGTGGATTTTGGCAAATGGGTGTCATTGCCGCGACCTTGCAAGTGTGGCACTTCGGGGCAAAACCTGGGGGCGACAAGGCCACGCGTGAGTGCGAGACAAGCCCCGCACGGCTGGGAGAGGCCGCGCACACGCCCTGGCCGGGCAGGCAACGGGACCCTGGGCTCTGCGCTGCCCTCCGCGGGCGCGGGGCTCGGTGCTGCGCGGCTCCACAGGTTGGGTTTGCCCCATTTCTTGGGGTTCACCCCACAAAAAACAAGCTCATCTCTGAGTTTAGAGACTCCCTGCTCCTTCCCACCCAGTGCTGGGTGCAGGGCCAGCTCCCTGTGGCCGCTCGCTTTTCGGGGCCACCAGTTCCCCGCGCCGAGAATCACCTCTTCCCGCTCGGGTACTTACATGTCCGAAGGGATCCAGGTGGTTGTTGGTGAGCTTAAGTTTTTGGAAGGAAACCAGCTGCCTCATCCAGTGGGCGCCGGTGGCGGGGGAGTCGGGGTGGACGTACAGGCGACCTGGCATGGCCGGTTCTGCCTTCCCTGTCACCGACCTGCACGAAGGACACGGAGGTGCTGAGCTGGCCGTGGGGGACCCCTCTGGTCTCTCTACATACCCCCCCCACCCCGGGCACCCCTTCCCCAGCCCAGTCATTCCCCGGCCTCCACCTCGCCGCCCATCCCCCTGGCCTCGGGTGCACCCCCCTGAGCCAAGCCTATAAACCGAGTCCCCCTATATGCACAAGGCAGGGCGATGTTGGCTGGTCGCATTGTGTTTGGGGGAAAAGCGACATTTATAGACACACAGCCGCTGCTTGGGGAGTTAATCGAAATCTTTGGCATATTTCCCGTCGGAGAGGGCTCCCTCCGTTTCCCTGTTTAACCCCATCCTTCCCCCTTCCTAAATCTTGAGGATCCAGGCAGGAGTATAGAAAGCACCGTGTAGCAACCCCTAAACATTTCTTTTTCCCTGGAGATATCATTAAACTGTTGAGTCCACAACAGCCAATAATCTCATCGTCAAACAAGATTATGGTCATCGTTAGCTAAATATCATAGATTTTGTTGTCCTTCATTTTTATGTGTTTCCCGTCAGAGCAATCTGCCTGGCGGCCGGGAAGCGTCTTGGGATGCCCAGGTAAAGCCCCTGAAGCTCTGCCTTCGCCTAAGTTCGGAACTCGAGGATGAGCCACCCATTCGAGAGCATCTTTTAGCTTTTTTTGCCTGGGTTTGGGTAGCCAAGAAAGCCCGATCCAAAGATTCTCTCCCGCCCCTTTTCCCCCATGCGTGCATACCATTTATTATCTGCAAATTTGTATCTGTGGTCATCCGCTGGTACAATATCCATCAACAGTATGTACTTAGTTTTTGGATTAAGTCCAGTGACCTTCACTTTGTAACTGGGGAACATACGCCTATTAAAAAAAAAAAAAGTAAATATAAATAGCGAGAAGAGAAAGATTCTGGAGGCGACTTGAGGGGTGGTGTGTTTGCAAGAAAGAGAAGGAGGGGGTTCATTAGGCAGAAGTCCGATGCCACCCGCTCGGATGAGCCTCCAAAAACACCAGGGCAATCGCAGAGCCCAACTTGGCCTTAGCGGTGCAGCTGTGGCTGTTCCCTTGCCGTTGGGTATCGGTCCTCTGCCTTGTCTCCCATCTGAGGCAAGAGAGGCAATTTTCAGGAGAAAAAAAAACATAGCTATGGGGGTGGCGAGTTTATTCTTTTACCTGCTTGTGTGTCTCCTAATAGGTTCGTATTTTTATTCTTATTTATTTCGCCAAAACTTCTATTCTTCCTTGTTTTAACAAGTCTGGTCATGGGAACTTTTCAGAGTAAGTTACATTCCTATGCACATAAACCCTTAGAGCAGGAGAGGATATGTGCCAAAAAGAAGAAAAAAGAGTATTTAAAATACGTATTTTTGAAAAAAAAAATCTGCCACGTGCATCATCTATTCCGTGTGTAGAGATAGGAAATCACACACACCCTCAGGTGCTACCTCCAGCAGAATGCGCATACAGAGACATCAGCAAACACACCTGACAAATACTTGGAAACACTCAAATACACACTGAGGACAGGGGCTTTTCGAAATATTTTCCATTACTGCAAGTCAGTGACTTAAAACACTGCTGTTATTTTAGTTCGAGCTTTCCAAATATTTAAAAATAAAGCAGACGAAAATGTAGCCCTTGACTTAAAACACGCATAAACAAAAAGCCCTCACCTCTAAAAATACTGCACTCTTCTGAAAGGATTCGTCTCTTATCTTTGCGATAAGGCCTTTTTTTTTTAATTAGAATATAAGAAGCTGGGACGGAGTGAACTAATAACGAACAAAATGGGCGTAACTTTAAGATTTGAGGGAGAAATCAAATCCCACCTGAACAGTGATCTGTAACTATATCGAAAGCACCTGACCAGCAAGAACACGGATTTCTCCAACAATAAACACAAGGAATTATATAAATAACAACCCCGCATCCAGCCTGGCCAAACGCGTGTGCTCTCCCCCAAAGCCCGTGCCCTGTAAAAATCGTCTTTGTTGCTGTCCAGATGAGGTTTCTATCCCCCGCAATATCTAGTCGAGTTTGTTGCAAGGTGTTTTACGTCTCCCTTCGCGCTCTGCTTTTCTGCAAATTTTACTTATTCGCAGAAACCGCGTCCCGCATCGGGTGCGGAACCCCCCGGGCCGGGAGGTTTTCGGCAGCACTCGGAATTTCATCAGCTCCCCTTCGTGCGGACAGTTTTCTCTAGTGCCTCTCCCACACTTGTGTTTATAGCGTGGCCCCTTTTCTGCAATACCCTCCTTTAAAAAAATCATCTTTTCAGCAGCCGCCCCGTTCAAAGGGAAGACGAGCCGCGAGACAAATCTATTCGCAAAACTTGCTACAGCCAGCTTTATTTTTTTTTTCCTCCCCTCCCTCGTCAGGCAAATTTGGGAAGACCACAACAAATGCCAGATGACAGAGCAAAATGAAAGTTTGACTCTGCATTGTTTGATGTGCCCTTGCAAGCAAAAGTTCCTATTGCTTCTGTGCGGGGAGATTTCCACCACCCTCCTTCCTCCGAGGAGCCATTGGATAGGGCAGGTATGTTGTTTAGCTTAAAAATCGCAACGAAAAGAGCCTCTCTAGGGTTGAACGGAGTTTACTGAAAGCACCTGAGAGCCTCTTTTGCTGGGGCTCGCTGGCTTAGGTACTTTTCTATTTAAAAGTTCTCCGACACATTAATATAAAGGATAACGTTAAATCGCCTCAAATGCGCTCAGACGAGTATGCCTTCTTACATAAATAGCTATGGATCACGTTTACTAAGCCAGTTATGGAATCGATTACACACAGTCCCAATAAAGTCGGATTTGCAAGGCTGTATATTTTTCTACACACCCACGCAGACAAACACACACATATAGGAAAGGGTATCTGGCCACAGTTAGATACGCATGCTATTTATTTGCGGATACATCTATCTGCGTAACTAACGAGCTATGCTATCAGGATATAAACAGTAGCTTAGGACCACATATATTTTTAATAGGACGCGTTCAGGATATATTCGCCTCTATGTGCGCTTAATAAAAAAAAGAATATTCTAGAAAGAGAGGGTAGGATTGTAAAAAAAAAAAAAAAAAAAAAGTGCAGCAGGGCAGAGCTGCTCCTTTAATTAAAGTAAATAATTAAAGTAATAATAACGAAATCACCCCGCAAACGGCTCTAAACAAGGTTAGTGCTTGGCCAAGCGTCTGCAGCAAGCGCTTGCTTGGAAAGCTTCCAGTGGCCTGAAATTGGGATTAAGGATCCAACTGTTCTGGTTAAGAAAGAAGCCAGAAGAAACAGTTTCCACTGAGCAGCGCGGAGCCCCCCGTGGAAGGAGCCGTGGCCCGTGGGCGAGCTCACAGACCTGCACCGCGGTGAGAAAATGTGTGGGCACCTCGTGTGCGGCCACGCGCAGAGCCATGTGTGTCCCCAGGCTCGCGGCCGGCTCCAAGCGCACCCAGGCGGGTGGGAAGGCTCCCCACGCGCACCCACGGGAAAGGGGACCCGAGGAGGGACGCACAGCGCCTGGGTCGCCTTAATCCCGGGAGAAGGCTCCGCGCCTCTGCATCTCTTACCTCCCAGCCTTGGTGATGATCATCTCGGTGCCCACCTCGTGAAATTTCAGCCACAGCTCCCGCTCGTGCAAAAACACCTTGATCCCCTCCATACCCTGCAAGGGAGGAAGGCGAAGCATCAGCCGAGCCGAGTTCTGCCACAACGGCCCCTTCTCCAGCGGTTCCTGAGGAAAACCCGCTGCTTTCACCGCGAAATTGCAAAGCTAGACAGGGAACGGGAGCTCAGACCTCGGATGCCGAGTCAAGGGGCTCTGGTGCTAGACCCCGAGACCCTTGAAACTCCCTGGGAGGGAAGAGACAGGGGCCACCCGGTGAAGCCTGGGCCAGCTCCAAGCCCCCAGAGTCCCCAGTTCCGGCCGTGCTACTGGGAGAATTGCTTCAGGCCAGATCCTCAGCTGCTTTCAGGAGGCAGCTGCAGGGGATTTACACCCCTACGGTGGGTGATTTACTCCTGCCACCTCTCCTATTTCTCTGGGATATGAGGAAAAAAACATGGATCCCACGCAGCCGCTTTAATGGAGACGATGGCCGCTGCCAGTTTTATAAACCCCTCAGCCCACACCCCAGAAGCAGCTGATCTCTTAGGGGGATCATGTCGGCGATTATCGCGCGGGGAAAGCCTTGTCGCGAAGCAGCCCTCACAATAGCGCTTTTTTTTTTTTTTTCGCAACCCCCCGCAAAGGCCACCCGCAAAACGAGGGGGGCCTCCCCTGTCCGCAAAACAAACATCTTCCCCCCCGCAGCCCCCGGCCAAACATCGAGATAGACCCCACGGCCCCAACACATCGCGGCTCCGTTTCGAAGCCGTCCAAGCCACGCGCGAAAGCTCGACACCCGCCGCGGCCCTGCGCGCACGGACACGGATCCCACGGGGCTCTCCCGAGCTGCGTTTTCCTCCGGAGAATTTACCTGCAAGGAAATCTCTCCGCGCAGGATTCCCCCCGCGGCGCCCCACGCTCCACAGCCGCCGAAAAGCCGCTGACAGGGGCGCTCCGAGCCGCGGAGCCGGGCGGAGGGGCCGCGTTGCCGCCCCGGCCTCGTTTCCTCAGCAGCCGGGGCTGCCGCGTGGGAGCCCACGCGTGTCCCCGAGGAGCACGTATCACTACAGAGAGACAGTACGGCTGGAAACTGGGGGAGACACTCACTCCCCGCATAGGGGGGCTGGGAGGCGGCTGGGCCCCTCGCCTGTGGGAGGTTCCCACGCGTGACAGCGGCAGCCGCTGCGGCCGGGCCGCTTCACGTGTAAATATTGGTGTGTGCGTACATACAGCGGGAGTTCACGTATGGACGTTATAGAGGTACGCGTGGGCGGTTATCATTGTGGAGGTAAATATGTATGTGTATGCATCTCTATTCACGCGAATGCGGTTGTGTATTCGAGCATTTTCCGTATTTCGAGAGCGGACCTTTCCACGAACCCTCAGACCCACGCGTGCCGCGTCCCCCAGCGCGGCCAGGGGTGCCCCCTGCCACGGGGAGCACTAAAGCAGGACGGGGCTACCGGGCAGGTAGGATCCTCGGTCCCCTGGGGCCTGAAGTGCTTCAGCCCTGCCCGTAGCAGGGACGGGGCTGAGCAGATACTGGAGGGGGTGGAAATAATCCGGGAAAGGGAAAAAAAAAAAAAAAAGGGAGGGGGTGAGGAAGAGGAGCGGATTTACCTGCTGGGTGAAGGCTGCCTGTGGAGAGGTAGGGGCCTTGCTGGTGGCCCCCAGCTGCGTGTCCTGCTTAGCTTCAGCCTGCAGCTCCTTGGTTTCCGAGTCGGCCGGCGTGGTGGGGAGCCCGAAGCCTTCCTCGCTATCCGCCATGTTACGAGCTTCCTTCACCGAATCCCCCACTGCAGGCACACATCGGGGAGAGAGCAGAGATAAGAGACACATAAGTCAACGCTGACGTTTAATAATATATATATATATATATACACATGTGTACGGGGAGAGAAGAAACCTGGATGCGGCCGCACCTCTCCCTGCCCGCAACTCACTTCCAGCTGCCCGGGGAAGGAGCGAGGCCCTTTAACTTTGGGCGAGGGAGAAATAACGGCGGGGGGGCTGGGGGCAGCCTAGCTGCGTACCGAGCAACTCATCACACCACTGACCCTAGAGGGGCAGCGTCGCGGGCGGAGGCCACGGGCTACCCCGGGCTCTGGTCGGGCCGAGGCAGGGCTCGCTGCAGCCGAGGTCCCTATTCCAACATCCCCATTCCTCTGAGGGAGGTGGCAACTTGCATCTCCCGCTCTCAAGCGGGCGAATGCTGGCGACACGTGACGCAGATTATATAACCGCATTTTCAAAGAAAAAAAATAAACTTCTCTTTCGGCCTCTTGCACCCCCTCGAAGCACGAGATTTCTGCGGCAGAAGCTCTTTCTCTGCCCCCCACTCCCCGCAGCCTGTTGGAGGATGCGCGTCCAGCAGCACTGCGTGGACAAGGCGATAAAAAATAAAGTGCAAATAAATCAGTCAGCGGCGATATTGTGCAAGGTAACGTGCAGCACGGAGGAGGAAGAGTGGTGTGCACTGGGGCTGAGCTGGACCGAGCCGTAACAGCGGAGTAAAACTGCGCTGGCCGAGAAAACAAGCTTAAAAATCCAGCGCGGGGATTCATCTGATGCAAGTAATAGCAATGAGTATTGAATTTTAATGTAGTTTTACAAACTCTTAGTCTATCAGGAAAAGTAGAAGTTTCCAAACAGCAAAATACGATAAAAGCTTTTGAATTATTTGTTAGGGTTTTTTGTTGTTGTTGTTCTTAAGCAGTTCGGAGTTTTAGTAGCTTGAAAAAAAAAATCTCTCTTGCATGTTTTAAAGAAGGGGATTCATTTTTGAAGGCCAACCATATGGAGACAATACTATTTTAAGTACTTGAGGATGTTCTGAAATGGGTCTCCCTACAACAACATTTAAAATCCATTCTTAAAAAATAACAATAATAACTTTTTTTTTTAGGGAATTCTCCTTTAAATGTAGAGGAAAACTCAGGAGCGGAAAGAAAATCATCTTCCCAGCGAGTAGTGGGCAATATACATATGTATGTATCAGAGAAAAAGGGGAAAAATACGCGGAACAGAAGCTCCGCAGCTAAGGATCGTGGCCAGGAGGGCCCGGCCGCCCGCTCCGTCCCGGGCCCCCCGCTCCGTCCCCGCGGAAAGGCCGCAGCCCGCGCAGTGTCCACGGGCGCGGGGGGCACCATGAAGTCGCCCCGCCACCTAGACCATTTAAGGATTTCTCTTCCCCTCCTCCTCCTTTTTTTCTTGGGCTGTTGTTTTTATTTACCCCCACCCCCACCCCAAACATACAGAGCTTCGGAAGTGCCGGCTTCCCATTTTTAACCGATTTCCTCCAACTCGGGTCCATTATTCCCCCTGAGCCGGCAAAGTTGGGGGGAGTGCGGGAAAATGAATGTTTATTAAAACAAAGGGCCCCCCAGATACCCCTCCTCCTCCTTTTTTTCTTGGGCTGTTGTTTTTATTTACCCCCACCCCCACCCCAAACATACAGAGCTTCGGAAGTGCCGGCTTCCCATTTTTAACCGATTTCCTCCAACTCGGGTCCATTATTCCCCCTGAGCCGGCAAAGTTGGGGGGAGTGCGGGAAAATGAATGTTTATTAAAACAAAGGGCCCCCCAGATATGGCAGCGCAGAGGAGCTTCCGAGAGGCTCCGCAATTCGTCCGGTCCGCACATAATAAAACAGATTTTAAAAAAATGGGGGGGGGGGCGGGTAAGGCTGAAACGGCAAAAAAATAACCCAACAACTAAGGGCAATTGGCGATCTGCGGCTTCTAATTTTTTCCCCTTTAAAGAGCTCCTGAGAAGAAATGGAGCTTGACAGAACCAGGCCGCGATGGCTGTATGAAAAATGCATCTTGCGCTGCTAAAGTAGCACCAAGTGCGTTTGCAAGGGAGAGAAAAAAGGAAAAAAAAATAAAGCCCTCTCCTTTTGTTCCAGCCTGGGCCGGGCTCCCCGCATGCCCCCGGCCCCAGCACGACCGCAGCGGCGCGGGGAGCGGCGTGGAGCGGCCCCCGCTTCTCCCCCCTGCTCTGGAGGCTTCGCCGTCCCTCGGCAAAGACAAGAGGCGGCTTCACAATGACCCCAGGCAGTCACTTTCTCTCTCCCTCTCTCGCACCCGCACGCACACACAGCACAGACCCCGACGGACATACATGGCAATGGAAGAGCTGTTACCTTGCTCGTTGAATTCCATGCAATCAATGCATCTCCATCTACATGTGTATGTGCCTAGTTTCCCCCTTTGCAATGGCAATTACAATGGGATCAGGCTTCTCGTGTGCATATTTCCTTTTATTTATTTATTTGCGGATCAGCATGTGGAAAAAAAAAAAAACAGCCTGGAAGGAAAAAAAAAATCCGTCTCCAGCGCAAGGCTGCTTCACTCGCTCGCTCGCTCTCTCTCCTGCTCTCTCCAAACACTTCCAGGTTGTCAGACGCACTAGAAAGGATCCTGAGACCAAGATAAAGCCCCCACCCCCACTCCTTTCTCAGACTGAGCTGGAAGATACACTTTTCCCCACCCCACTCTTTCTACTCCCCACCACTCAAAAAAAAAAAAAAAGCGAGAAAGCGAAGGAGGGGGGGAATGAGAGG